CTGGTAAATGAATTGGGTGTATAGAAAACGTGTATGGCTGATGTCAGACTTTTTTTTTCAGGGAGATTAATCACTGCTATACAAATTATACCAGCAGGGAGCCAGTCATGTCATTGGTAGGGATCCTTAACACTAGTGGTGGGGGGGGGGGGGGGGGGGGGGGGGGGGGGGCTGTTGTGAAACCACGAAGTCCAGCTGTGTTTTTAACACTCCTCCTTTAGCTGCAGAGGCAGTGGCTGGGGAATTATGCCCCTTTCACACGGATGCACTGAGCAGGTCCATCTGTTTATTTTTCAGGCAGACCCGATTGGACCGTCCATTGTTCTCTATGGGGAGGTGGATGTAAATGGACATGTGCCTGCACCCGCCTGCATCTGATCCTATCCAATCCGCTAAAAACCGATGGATGGGGATCCATTCCCGTCCATCTAGCGATTCCGATCGGATGACAGTCAAGTGGAAACAGACAGGCGGTCCGTTTCCATCCGACCGCCCCATAGAAAACAGCAGGCTGTGTCCGCTCTGCATAAGCAGAGCGGACACAGACTTGTCATCCACCTGCTCAGCGGGGATCAGCGAAGAGAGATTCCCCAGAAGAGAGATCCCCCGAAGAGAGATCCCCCCAAAGAGAGATCCCCCGAAGAGAGATTCCCCCAAGAAGAGATTCCCCCAAAGAGAGATTCTCCCGAAGAGAGATCCCCAGAAGAAAGATTCCCCCAAGGAGAGATCCCCTGAAGAGAGATTCCCCCACAGAGAGATTGCCCCAATGAGAGATTCTCCCAAAGAGAGGTCCCCAGAAGAGAGAACCCCGAAGAGAGATTCCCCCAAAGAGAGATTCCCCCAAGAAGAGATTCCCCCAAAGAGAGATCCCCCGAAGAGAGATTCCCCCAAAGAGAGGTCCCCCGAAGAGAGATCCCCCGAGAAGAGATTCCCCCAAAGAGAGATTCCCCCAAAGAGAGATTCCCCCGAGAAGAGATTCCCCCAAAGAGAGATCCCCCGAAGAGAGATTCCCCCAAAGAGAGGTCCCCCAAATAGAGATCCCCCAAAGAGAGATTCCCCCGAAGAGAGATCCCCAAAAGAGAGATCCCCCAAAGAGAGGTCCCCAGAAGAGAGATTCCCCCAAAGAGAGGTCCCCAGAAGAGAGATTCCCCCAAAGAGAGGTCTCCAGAAGAGAGATCCCCCGCTGAGCAAGCGGACTCCGCGAAGCGACGCCCGGTGAGCACCACCCATCCAAGTGAGTGGGGCCACTCTGCAAGCAACCTGCTACCATGCAGCTGTGGGGTTCCAGGAGGTAAAGTAGGCGGTGAGGAGGTGACATATCAGGAGACCACTAGCCGGGATAAGAGTTGGAGTGCAGCTGGGATCACTCTGCATGGGGCAGGAGCCGGCACTGCAGAGGAGGCATCGGCTTATGCAGCTCTTGCTCTCTATTACAGCTCCAGCTTTACAAGTTGTCCCTCTGCGATCTACCAGTCACTGGCTGCGATCTACAGGTTGCCGACCCCTGCCTTAGGGATCTTTCACATGTGCCAACCCTCTGAAAAGCAATCCACAGCGGATTACTTTTTAGAGACATTTGACAGGCTGTGAGATATATGTCGCCTCCTCACCACCTTCTTTAATCCTCCAAACGTCCACCCACTGTCTGGTAACTGTTTGCATTGCATGTGGTTGTGGTGAGGCCCCATTCACTTGAATTGGTGACTAATGTGGCCCTCCCTCTTAGATTGTAAGCTCTGAGGAGCAGGGCCCTCCTTTCCCTCTTGTATTGAACTGTATTGTTGCTGTATTGTCTCCCTTTATATGTAAAGTGCTGAGCAAACTGTTGGCGCTATATAAATCCTGTATAATAATAATAATAATAATGTTTGGCTTCAACGCAAAACATTGCAGCTGCTGTGTTTTCGTGGGCAGATGGGGGGTGGTAAAACCACGGCTCAATTGCCTGCTTTGACACCTCATGTGAACGGGCCTTAAGCCCTGGTTCACACTGATGCGGTCCGGAATTTGCAGCGTTTTCAGTACGAATTCTTCACTGCATCAGAATCGCACCCCGTTCATGCAACCCACTGCGGGTGTGTATGTTAAGTTAACAACACCCTGAAAGCGGTCCACAAAATGCGGTGCGATGTGCAGAATCGGAGCATAGGTGTGAATACCCGTGCAATCCGATTCTAGTGTGAACCAAAAAAAGGGTCCTTCACGTTTTGGGTGCGCATACAAAATGTATGGCTCCGATCGCACCGCTCACAAATCGCATGTGATTGGTACAGGAATGCGGTGCAGCTTCTGTGCGAATCACATGCGATATGCCGCACCACACATATGTGAACCCGGGTTTAAAGCTGCTGGTGATAGTGCTGCACTGCGCTGCTGGTGATAGTGCTGCACTGCACTGCTGGTGATAGTGCTGCACTGTGCTGCTGGTGATAGTGCTGCACTGCGCTGCTGGTGATAGTGCTGCACTGCGCTGCTGGTGATAGTGCTGCACTGCGCTGCTGCAAATCACTCTCCTTCAGTGATTCCAATGACATTCCATAGAAATACATTACAGCTTCATTTAGATGCATGGATAAGCTGCAATAGGCAGTGGATGGGGTGTTTTCATGACGCGGTTTTCCTGACATGTAGCGATTATCAGGCTGCTAGCCCACCGAACACTACACACTCAAGCCAAGGGGGAAGCGCCACATACACCCAGCAACTGTGCGGCGCATTTGTAGGCTAACATGGGGTTTAAAATAGGCGGCGAGGAGACGTCACATCGCTTCCTCACTGCCATTCAGTAGCCTCTGAAATGTGATCCAAACGCGGATTGGACTTCAGAGGAAAGGCAAATTCAGACACGTTTAAATCTATCATAAAAGTAAATTTGTGTTTTTACGCATCACGTTTGAAATGAATGGGCTGCCCTACGCGCAAAAAAAAAATCGCATCAAAGAAGCAAATGCACCTTTTTAAAAAAAAAAATAGCACTGCACCAAAACGCATGGCACTTTGTTATCCTACACGTCAGAGCACGATTCTGCTTGTGTGTGCGTTAGCAAGGTGTGTTGATGTACCATTAAGAATGAACTGCCCTGCTGCGTGCCTTCTTGTGCGTTAATGGAATGCGTGTGATTTTGCGCCAGTTCCCATATCGCACAAATTTGAATCTAGCCTAAATTCGAATAAATGTGAGATGGTGAAAGGAACATAGTCGTATCATCGAATAACCTTGTGGGTTCAGTCCCTTTACAGCCACCTAACACTAAGACCGGCCATATATTATACAATTTTCTTCAGATTTTTGCTTTATGCTGGCCATAGACGGGTCAGAAATCAGCCGATTTTTTGGCCGAAAAAAAAATCGTCCGATTTTTGCACCGTTAGTGGGTTAATTGGTCGGCTGTTTTTCGGGGTTTTTGCACATTTTTTTTATCGGTCACGTTGGAAAATTTGTAGCCAATTTTCCCGGCAATGATGGGCAAATTGGCCGATTGTTTTACCGATAAAAAATCTGCGCATGAGCCGTGACCTACAAGAAGAAGAAAAAGAAGAATAATAAGAATTCCAGTCCACTATTATATTTTATATGAAGAAGTCTTGCGGTTGCAACAAATGTATCCATTTGTATCCGAATAAAAACATCTGTTTCCCAAATGGATACAAATGGATACAAATGGACACAAATGGATACAAATGGATACATTTGTTGCAACCGCAATACTTTTTCATATAAAATATATCATCTTCTTCTTTTATTCTTCTTCTTCTTATCTATTAGTCCCCTGTGTGCTCCCCTGTCTCTGCAAGGGACAGAAGTAATTATGGGGTTAAATGCTGGCCATAGACGGGACAAAAATTGGCCGTTGGTGGTAACGTCGGCTGATCGAACGACTGATTTTTTGTGTTTTTTTTTTTAAAAACGGCCGATTTTTGACCCGTCTATGGCCTGCATTAGATTTACCAAAAACCATATAATAGGAGGTCAAACCCAAACAACACTTTCAGTTGTATCCAATTAGACAGGCCCTTGCACTACATAGTTGAAGATAAATCTAAAGGAAATTGGGCAGAAATTGGACAGAAAATTGTACAGTGTGTGGCCAGTCTTAGTCCTCATGCACACGGGACGTTTTTACAGCGGCTGTTTTTGGCTTTTGGCGTTTGTTTTCTACAGCCAATAAACCCCCCAGCATGTTATCCTATGTGTCCATACACACACAGACTGGAATCAACGTTTTTGTGGCTGGAAATAAAACCCAGAACTAGTGGGATTCTAGAGGAGTTTTTCATAGCTGTAAACACGCTCTAACGCTGAAAAAAACATGGCAAAATGCTGCAAACTGGCGTTTTTGGACATTTGCAGGCTAGCTGTTTTTTTTTTAGCTCAAAAAACGCTGGATAAGAAACACTGGTAATAGTGTTTTTTAGTAGCATTTTAGGAGTGTTTAGGAGCGTTAGCATTTTATTAGCATTTTTACAGTACATGTAGAAAAAAAAGCTGTTGGGAGCATTTTAGTAGCGTTTAACAGTGTTTAGGGGCGTTTAGCTTTTTTTTCTGCTGGAAAAACACTCCAAAAAACTGCTCCTAGATGCTGAAGCTTGAGTGTTTTTTGAGCTCAAAACTCCAAAAAAAAGCTCAAACTTAAAAAATCAATTGTTCTCTATAGTGCCTGTTCACAGGAAAGCTCAAGTGTGAATGCAGCCAAAGTAGTGTGCATGGACACATAGGATAACACTATTCAGCTTCTAGGAGCAGAAAAAATGCTAACAGCTTCTAGGAGCTTAAAAACATTAGTGTGCATGGAGCCTAAGCAACTTATTCACTCCCTTGTTATCTCTCGCCTTGACTTTTGTAACTCCCTCCTCATTGGCCGACCTAATCACAGACTATCCCCTCTTCAGTCCATCATGAATGCTGCTGCCAGACTCATCCACCTTACTAACTGTTCTGTATCTGCCACCCCTCTCTGCCAATCCCTCCATTGGCCTCCATTCACTGTCCTCCACCCCTCTCTGCCAATCACTCCACTGGCCTCCACTCAGTGTCCTCCACCCCTCTCTGCCAATCCCTCTACTGGCCTCCACTCAGTGTCCTCCACCCCTCTCTGCCAATCCCTCCACTGGCCTCCACTCAGTGTCCTCCACCCTTCTCTGCCAATCCCTCCACTGGCCTCCACTCAGTGTCCTCCACCCCTCTCTGCCAATCCCTCCACTGGCCTCCATTCAGTGTCCTCCACCCCTCTCTGCCAATCCCTCCACTGGCCTCCACTCAGTGTCCTCCACCCAGTGTCCTCCATCCTTCTCTGCCAATCCCTCCACTGGCCTCCACTCAGTGTCCTCCACCCCTCTCTGCCAATCCCTCCAATGACTTCCACTCAGTGTCCTCCACCCCTCTCTGCCAATCCCTCCACTGGCCTCCATTCAGTGTCCTCCATCCCTCTCTGCCAATCCCTCCACTGGCCTCCATTCATTGTCCTCCACCCCTCTCTGCCAATCCCTCCACTGGCCTCCATTCAGTGTCCTCCACCACTCTCTGCCAATCCCTCCACTGACCTCCACTCAGTGTCCTCCACCCTTCTCTGCCAATCCCTCCACTGGCCTCCACTCAGTGTCCTCCACCCCTCTCTGCCAATCCCTCCACTGGCCTCCACTCAGTGTCCTCCACCCCTCTCTGCCAATCCCTCCACTGACTTCCACTCAGTGTCCTCCACCCCTCTCTGCCAATCCTTCCACTGACTTCCACTCAGTGTCCACCACCCCTCTCAGCCAATCCTTCCACTGACTTCCACTCAGTGTCCTCCACCCCTCTCTGCCAATCCCTCCACTGGCTTACCATTGCCCAACGGATAAAATTCAAAACATTAACAATAACATATAAAGCCATTTATAACTCTGCCTCAAATTACATCACCAATCTTGTCTCTAAATATCACCAAAACTGTCCTCTCCGCTCCTCGCAAGACCTCCTACTCTTTAGCTCCCTTGTCTCCTCCTCCCATGCTCATCTCCAGAACTTCTGCAGAGCTTCCCCCATCCTCTGGAACTCTCTACCCCAATTTATCAGACTCACTTTTAGACGATCTCTGAAAACCTATCTCTTCAGGAAAGCCTATCCTGCCCTCAGCTAATAATGGAATCTTCTACTCCTCCTACCAACCCATCCCCCACAGTTATTACCTTTTGTACCACCAGCCCCTCCCTCCTAGATTGTAAGCTCCAAGGATCAGGCCCTCCTATCGCTCTTGTATTGAACTGTATTGTTGCTGTATTGTCTCCCGTTATATTGTAAAGCGCTGAGCAAACTGTTGGCGCTATATAAATCCTGTATAATAATAATAATTGTATACCACTGAACGCAGTGCGCAGTTTTGTTTGTAGACGTAGCTGTGCGTTTGTCCTCCTTGATTTCTATAGCAATGCATAGAGAACTGTATGCTTTGTGAATCTAACTTACACTCGTGTGAATGAGACTTAGGCTTCATTCACAGCGTCATATGCGTATTTTCTGCGCAGAACGCAGCATCTTGTTGGCAGAGCTAACATAAAATCCACACCTAAAGTACTTGCGTTGAGATGCGTGCAGTTCTTCTAACATGCATACACAAACAGATATGCGCAGTCCTGGATGCAGAGCTGTCCTACTTTTTCTTTGCCTGCCGCTAAACGTGGCGCACGTTTTCGTTTGTAATCACAGCTGTGTGTATGGCCCCATTGATTGCGTTCAGATGCGTACAAAACTATTCGCTGTATACATTTAAATACCGCGTTTCAGACGGCCGTGCGAATGAGCCCCTATGTATACACCAGGTGGGAAGGCGTTAACAAGAAGACATGATATAAGAAGCCCAGCCTCTGCAGATGTCCGTGTGTTCTAGACTCCATAGACCAGCAGCAGGTCGCCCCCCCCATCCCAGGTTCATGTCCGTGTCACACTCCTAACATGTCCGCTGCGTTCACCACCACACTGCGCCCCATGTTAGCGGCCAATCGGAGAGCCAAGTGACGCTACAGAGGGGCCTTGCTACTTGCGTCTCTCAACAATGGCCAAGAACAACAGCGGCGTGTTTTTGTCTCCCGGGGAGCCCGCGGTGTCATGCTAAGATGTGTGCCGGTGGATTTGCTGCGCTCCGGAATATTTTCCGGAATCTTGGAGGAGAGCGGTGTGGTTCTTGGCTCCGAGCTGATTTGCTTTCATTGGAAGCGGCCACCATCTAAAACGGAAAAGATTTGTCATCCGTTCAATCAGGGCTAACAGGGTCATGTCATTCCAAACGTCGTTTTTCAGACTGTAGCTTTCATTAAAATAATACTTGCTGATGCTGAACAGGTCCTTGATCAGGGACCGTCATTATGGAGGGCGGGGCTCTCCAAACTGAGGCCCCCGGGCCACATGCAGCCTGCTAGAGGACCTTATCCGGCCCGCAGCTCTGGTCAGTGGAGTATTCTCTATGTGTACAGCTTGAGGATTGGGGTCATCTGAGGATCCCTATTGTCTCCCCCAATGTAAGGGAAGACTCTGACAGGGGCTGGGATGTAAGGGGGGGTCTCTGATGTAAAGTGGGGTCAGATGGGTACTCTGATTTAAGGGGGGCTCAGATCAGGAAACTGATGTAAGAGGGGGCTCTGATGGGGATCCTGATGTAAAGAAGAACTTTGATGGGGACTCAGACGTAAGGAAGCTTTCTGCTGGGGACCCTGATGTAAGGGGAGACTTTGCTGGGGATCCTGATGTAAGGAAGGACTCTGATGGAGACTCTGATGTAAGGAAGGACTTGGATGGAAACTCTGATGTAAAGGGGGAACTGATGGGGACCCTGATTTAAGGAAGGACTCTGATGGGTACCCTGATGTAAGGAAGGACTCTGATGGAGACTCTGATGTAAGGGGGGACTCTGATGGGTACCCTGATGCAAGGAAGGACTCTGATGTAAGGGGAAACTCTGATGGGGACCCTGATGCAAGGAAGGACTCTGATGGATACTCTGAAGTATAATTATTATTATACAGGATTTATATAACACCAACAGTTTATGAAGGCAGACATTACAGTTACAATACAATTTGGAACAAGAAGAAACAGAGGGCCCGGCTCATTAGAGCTTACAATCTAGTAAGGGGGGACTCTGATGGAGGCTCTGTTGTAAGGGGAGACTCTGATGTAAGGAAGGACTTGGATGGAGACTTTGATGTAAGCGGGGAACTCTGATGTAAGGATGGACTCTGATATAAGGAGGGACTTGGATAGAGACTCTGGTGTAAGAATGGACTCTGATGTAAGGGGAGAACTGATGGTGACCCTGATTTAAGGAAGGACTCCGATGGATTCTCTGAAATAAGGGGGGACTCTGATGGAGTCTCTTTTGTAAGGGGAGACTCTGATGTAAGTAAGTACTTGGATGGAGACTTTGATGTAAGCGGGGGACTCTAATGTAAGGAAGGACTTGGATGGAGACTTTGATGTAAGAATGGACTCTGATGTAAGGGGGAAATGATGGGAACCCTGATTTAAGGAAGGACTCTGATGGATTCTCTGAAGTAAGGGGGGACACTGATGGAGGCTCTTTTGTAAGGGGAAATTCTGATGTAAGTAAGGACTTGGATGGAGACTTTGATGTAAGTGGGGGACTCTGATGTAAGGAAGGACTTGGATGGAGACTTTGATGTAAGAATGGGTGTAAGCAGGGAACTGATGGGGACCCTGACTTAAGAAGGAAGGACTCTGATGGAGACTCTGATATAAGGGGGGACTCTGATGTACGTAGGGACCCTGACAGAGACGCTGATGTAAGGGGGACTCTGATGGAGACTCTGATGTAAGGAGGGGCTTTGATGGAGACTCTGATGTAAGAATGGACTCTGATGTAAAGGGGGACTCTAATGGAGACTCTAATGTAAGGAGGGACTCCGGTGTAAGGAAGGACTTGGATGGAGACTCTGATGTAAGAATGGACTCTGATGTCAGGAAGGACTTTGATGAAAACACTGATGTAAGAAGGGACTCTAATGAAGACTCTTATGGGGACTCTGATGTGAAGAAGGACTTGGATGGAGACTACCCACGCTCAGGGCCCTATGGGTTCATGGCATGTAGCACTCAGTACAGCGCTCATCCCCATCCATGCCTTCCTGCATCCTGCAGAAGGCGCCCCGTCCCGTGTGTGAGAGGTCCTGATAGATGGGACAGAACTCTCCCAATTGGACATTTATCAGATGAAGGCCCCTTTAGGAGACGTTCTCCATGCTGTGGTCTCGATGATGAAGGCCCCTATAGGAGACGTTCTCCGTGCCGTGGTCTCGGTGATGAAGGCCCCTATAGGAGACGTTCTCCGTGCCGTGGTCTTGGTGATGAAGGCCCCTATAGGAGTCATTCTCCCTGCCGTGGTCTTGGTGATGAAGGCCCCTATAGGAGACGTTCTCCCTGCCGTAGTGTCGATGATGAAGGCCCCTGTAGGAGTCGTTCTCCCTGCCGTGGTCTTGGTGATGAAGGCCCCTATAGGAGTCATTCTCCCTGCCGTGGTCTTGGTGATGAAGGCCCATATAGGAGACGTTCTCCCTGCCGTAGTGTCGATGATGAAGGCCCCTGTAGGAGTCGTTCTCCCTGCCATGGTCTTGGTGATGAAGGCCCCTATAGGAGACGTTCTCCCTGCCGTGGTCTCAGTGATGAAGGCCCCTATAGGAGACGTTTTCTGTGCCGTGGTCTCGGTGATGAAGGCCCCTATAGGAGACATTCTCCCTGCCGTGGTCTCGGTGATGAAGGCCCCTATAGGAGACGTTCTCCATGCCGTGGTCTCGGTGATGAAGGCCCCTATAGGAGTCGTTCTCCCTGCCGTGGTCTTGGTGATGAAAGCCCCTATAGGAGACGTTCTCCCTGCCGTGGTCTCGGTGATGAAGGCCCCTATAGAAGACGTTCTCTGTGCCGTGCTCTTGGTGATGAAGGCCCCTATAGGAGACGTTCTCCGTGCCGTGGTCTCGGTGATGAAAGCCCCTATAGGAGACGTTCTCCCTGCCGTGGTCTCGGTGATGAAGGCCCCTATAGGAGACGTTCTCCCTGCCGTGGTCTCGATGATGAAGGCCCCTATAGGAGACGTTCTCCCTGCCGTGGTCTCGGTGATGAAGGCCCCTATAGGAGACGTTCTCCGTGCCGTGGTCTCGATGATGAAGGCCCCTATAGGAGACGTTCTCTGTGCCGTGGTCTCGGTGATGAAGGCCCCTATAGGAGACGTTCTCTGTGCCGTGGTCTCGGTGATGAAGGCCCCTATAGGAGACGTTCTCCGTTCCGTGGTCTTGGTGATGAAGGCCCCTATAGGAGACGTTCTCCGTACCGTAGTCTCGGTGATGAAGGCCCCTGTAGGAGACGTTCTCCGTGCCATGGTCTCGGTGATGAAGGCCCCTATAGGAGACGTTTTCCCTGCCGTGGTCTCAATGAAGGCCCCTATAGGAGACGTTCTCCGTGCCGTGGTCTCGATGATGAAGGCCCCTTTAGGAGACGTTCTCTGTTCCGTGGTCTCGATGATGAAGGCCCCTATAGGAGACGTTCTCCCTGCCGTGGTCTCCATGATGAAGGCCCCTATTGGAGACGTTCTCTGTGCCGTGGTCTCGGGGGATCTGGCACACACGGTGATTACATTTGCTGTTCTCGGAGTTGGTTGTAGAATTCAGTAAGTACATCCCAAGTTTTCTGGGGTCTCCCCACTGGCGCCTCTTTTTTCTGGACTTGCGCAAAGTTTTTGGCCGAGAAGCTCATGACTTTGCTGAAAGCTCAGTACAGAGCGTGATCTGCTCTCCGCGATGCCGTGTCTAGAACCCATGACGTCATGCAGGGACTGGCCAAGAGAGG